GAAACTGGTGGGTCAGGATAAGGGCAGTTTAACAGAACAGCAAACAGAGGGAAACAGGAACAACAACGGTACAAATAAGGAGAAAACACAACAACGAACCGCACGACCCAGAGCAGGCTCTGTTTGGCCAGGTGGGGTCAGCCCCCACCCCCCAGCTGTGCCCTTTCCTAGAGTCCGGTGAAAATTAACCCTGTCCTGGCCAAACCCAGGACAATTTGAAATGATGCATAGAAGAAAAGTGAACACCACACTTCCTTCTGTTTGAAACAAATAATTTGCTGCAGATTGATCGAAGATGTAGGCTGCACATTGTACACTTATGCATCCAATAAAGCGTTATTTTTTCCCTTTGTAAAATCATAAATAATGACGAGGCAGAAATGAATAGCTTCAGGAATTCACTGACATTAGCTGATACAGTAGGACTCATCCTGTAAACTGTTGAATGGTGAGATGCTCAACAACAGACAGGATTAAGCTCTCAGCTCTGACTGAGTCATGGAACTGTTGGAGCGGGTCCAAAGGAGGGCTACGAAAATGATCCGAGGGCTGGAGCACCTCTCCTATGAGGACGCGCTGAGAGAGTTGGGCTTGTTCAGCCTGGAGAAGAGAAGGCTGTGGGGAGACCTGATTGCAGCCTTTCAGTACTTAAAGGGAGCCTATAGGAAAGATAGGGACAATCTTTTTAGTAGAGACAACAGTGACAGGACGAGGGGTAATGGTTTTAAACTAAAACAGGGTAGGTTTAGGCTGGATATAAGGAAGAAATTCTTTACCATGAGGGTGGTGAAACACTGGAACGGGTTGCCCAGAGAGGTAGTGGAGGCTCCATCCCTGGAAACATTCAAGACCAGGTTGGACAGGGCTCTGAGCAACCTGATCTAGTTAGTGGTGTCCCTGCTTGCTGTGGGGGGGTTGGACTAGATGACCTCTAGTCGTCCCTTCCGACCCAAAACTTTCTATGATTCTATGATTTTATGACTTCAATGTGTTTTGATGTCACAATATTCATCTGTGAATCATTATTACTAGCCTCCTAATATCTCCATAATTTCTGTGTCTGAGACATTCTTTGTATCTTTGCTTTTCCAGAATGCAAAATGACCTATTTCGTTAGGACTTTAAAAGTAGTTATTTTAGTTATATCCTGTCTTACTTTCCCTGAAAGTTTTTGGAACCATCTTTCTCCTAAATTACTGGATGATTCTACAAGGATCACAGGACGAGTATAGGATGAGTAAATCACCTGCAGAGGAAATAAGAAATCTGTATGTTCTATCCTTCATAGATGAAATCATGATGTTTAGTTATTAAATAGAATGAATGAGGGTAAATTATTAATAAATTATGCTTGCTGCTGTTGATAGTTTCCAGTATCTATATTTTACCTCACTTTGATATCTTCAAAGGACAAAAGAAACACTTCAGGAAAGTTGCACTTTGCTGTGAAAACTTGGTTTCTTCTAGAATGTTCTTTCACTTTGGGCCAAATCTTGTATCTTAACTTAAGCTAAGGAAATTGTTGTGGAACCTGTGCGAAGATGTTACTATCAGACAGGGCCAATAACAATATTTCTCTTCTGCTCCCCATGGGTGAGGCACAGCATTGCTTTTTCTTCGTCTGTTTTTATTTTTCATGTATATTTTTGTTCCACTGCACAAAGGCCAGAGTGTGGCCAGTATTTCTGGTGCCATACACATCCAGTGGGCACACCAGATCACACTGCATCAACACACACCTAGCAGGAGCAGGGATGAAGGGTTTGGTGTCAAACTGGAAGGTTTTGCTAAGTGACTCTCCACACCTCTGGCCAAATGCAGTTTATGTATGCTCGGTAATGAAATGGATGATGGAAATAGATTTGCTTGTTAAAACTGAAGAGGTGGCCAGGTTTTTCCCATTTTGAAAAGTGGGAGTAAAATTCATAGTGGTCTTGACAAATTGGAGAAGTGCGCAGAAGATCAATGGTGCAATTTAATGACGATGAATAGCAAGCCAAATCTTAGGAAGTCATAACCAATGTCACAGGTACAATATGGAGAACAATGGAGCAGAGAGTAGTTCTGCACTAAAGATTGCAGCACTACAACAAGTTTGGGAAGCCACACTTCAGGAACAGCTAGTCCAGGCAGAATAATCTGAGACTGAGAAAATGTACCCTTTGAGGAAATACTGAAAGAATGAAGATTACTTTTTTCCAAAAAAAGAAATGAAGAAGATATAAGTTAACATGTTTCAGCCAAAATAAACTGTCTTAAAAGAAGAAGAAAAAATCAGAATTTTGTGTCCTCTGAGGACAGGGCGGATGTACTTTTCTTTCCACCTTTAACAATATTTAAACACTGGAATGGACTACTTGTACAGTAGAATTCTTATCACTGGCTGTTTCTACAAACATATTAAATAATAATCTGGTGCAGAATGGTGCAGGATATGAGTATTGTATGAGGCAAAGGACAGGTGAATGAATTAGGCCTTAGTTCTGACAAATAACTGTTTGCACCAACTCCTAATGTGGCAGGAAGGGACCTGGGGGTTGTTGATTCCCACTTTCTGCTGAGAAGACCTCAGAGGCGATGGGAGGAGAGGGGCATAGTCTCTTCGTAGGTCAAGAGGTATATGTTTAGGTGCTGTCTCAAGATCCTTTCCAGTCCTGCCTCCTATAAAGTTTTGCCAAGTTCACTGACCGACAGCTAGCAGTTCTGGAATGTCAGGCTCTGCCATCAGACTTTTGACTTTTCAAAACTTTTGTCATGTCAAAAAAATTAAAAATAGTAAAGATGTTTTGGATTAATATTTGTGTATCAAAGACTGAGGTCTAGACTCATATCACTGATCTTGTTTGTTAATTTAGTACAAATTTAAATTCAGAAATTATAACTTCTAATTTCCTGTTAAGTGTAATTGATCTCACTCAGCTTTTAATTGGTCTTAATTTGTTAAAGAATTATAATAAAATGAATTTATTTTGTTCTTAGGGATGTTAATTAATACGAGATGTGAGATGTTTTAATAAGACAATGATTAAGAGTTTTCCATTGTTCCTAACAGAATATGTATATAACAACCAGGAGTCCAGCTGATGGTAAAAGCAAAAAGAATTTAATTGCCTTGGCAAATGTTATAAACAACTGTAGATTGTAACAGTACTGATGAACGAGAGTGCATTTTTTTTTAGGTTTGCTTGTGACTGTTACTGTGTTTCTCACAGGGGACTTGAACACATGTTAATTCCTTTTTTCAGTAAAATGAACACAACAGTTTGCAAACAGAAGTTTGGCTTAGAGAAGACATTACTTTCACAGTAGATCTTTTGCTTCTGTTTTTAAATGCCAGGGATTTAAAATGGGATATGTACAAAGTACTGAAGTGACTATCTGACATTTATATAGATTGCATTTATGGTACATCTATGAAAGGTGAGTTGTTTGTTTCTAATTTTTATCTGACAACCAATTATACTAGACACATCCATAATCATTGGTGTCAGCACCTTCTCAGTTGGATGTCTAAACCAACTGATTTTATTTTACCTGTCTAAAATCTTTTAGAACTTGAGGTGGAAAAATCTCAGTGCAGGATGAAACCATGGTGAACTGTTATTTCTCTTTTAAGAGTGGGACTTTACAGTGTCATCTCTGGATAATAATCTTACAAATGTAACATGTCTATGCAGGCACACACATACAGTTTTGTGCATATTTAATCCAATAATTTAGGACATCTTCCCCTAATAAGTGTGTGTACATTTGATCAACCATGTAAAATCAGTGAAATTTAGGAGATGCAGTTTCTAACGCCTCATCGATAGATCTACCTGTACTCATACAACACATACCAATACATATGAAAAGCTTCCTCATTACCTCAGAAAAAAAAAAGAATGGTATGAATATGAATGGTATTATTTTTTTACTGAAGATTTTTCATTTATTCTAAGAAAAATAAGTACAAGTGGGAACATTTGTCACTCTGAATACAGATGTTAAAAACACCAGATTTGAGACATGCATTATCAGACATATCAGCTGTCTGATATTCTTATTAATGTATCTTTTGTTTCAGTCAGACATAATGCCACAAAGATATTTAATAAATAATTCACATTTTGTCAGCTTGCTTAACGCTTCCCTTCAGCAATGCATATGCTGTAATCTCTTTCTTAACAGATGACATTATGAATTCAGGTATTTCCAGTATAAAAGTGTTCTACAGTTTAAAGGAAAGGTATAACGAATAACATCCTAAATCACAAGAGAAAAGTTAAATGCTTCTAGGTAAATCAATCAGCAAACCTATACTTTCTCTACGCCTCCCATTAAACATTTGCAAAGGAAGTTGTGAAAATTTTAATGTTTTGTATTCATTTAATAGTGTAATAAAAATAATCCTTCCATTGGGTATTTGAAACCCCAGTGATTAATTTCCAGAAAAAAAAAATGCATCCAAAATGGCTAGGAAATGAGGTACACTAAAAATGTGCTTTACAGAAAATTACAGAAAATAGTGCATACTTACCAAAATATGCACTGAGACACTGTTTTTTAATATGCATATAAACTGTAAGTTATAGACCTTCTCCTCTAGAGTTAAAGGAAGAAATAATTCCAATAAATAGAGAACTGTAAAGTTTTATATTCCATATTTAATAGCATTAAATCAGGTGCATTGCACTGATAGGTATGATATTACTGCACTGTGAATGTCACTGTGTTATATGACTCTTTTTTATTTACCTTGGCTTTTATCTTTGGGGTCCTATGCATATAGAACCCTATAAAGTAGGCAGCATGCAATAATCTACAAGCTTCCAGCACTGGAGTTACTACAAACGTAGTCCTCTGTAAACGCAACTGAAATATCAATTTGCTCCTTGTTTTACCTTATCTTTCTTTTGTTTTTCGTCTTGGTATATGATCCAGTGCTCCCCATCATTACTGTAAGCAAGCTTGTAGGACCCCACAAACTGGACATGACCAAAATCTTTAGCTCCTTGGGTAATTATGCCAGTGATTTTTGTAGGGACAAGCAGGTCAACCTAAACAAAACAGAAATAAAAAAAAAACCACAGGAGAATGTGATTAGTACAGTTCTGTTTGCAGTCTGACTTTACACTATGCCAAGGCAAAACGGTGCAGCATGTCACACATTGTTCACATACATTTCTTGGATGCAGGTGGGAAAACTCAGGGTTGTTAAGAAGCCCCTTAGTGCATGGTGAGAGAGGACCCAGTCCAAGAGGTGGCTTTGCACAGCTTTGCAACCATGCCCACTGCATGCTGACACCATAGACAGTAACTTTCCATCTCCAAGTTCCAAGTCAACTTGCTCTTGTTTCCTGGTTGTTACTTACTGTTTATACCACCTAATGGCACAACAGGGCTGACCTCTGTATTGTTTCCCATTGCACTAGGTGCCATACACTGCCCCAACAAAACTGCAGTTTCCACTGCAAATAATTTCTAGCCAAAAACGTGTTCCCATGTGCTCCTAATAATCAGAATACCATATGCCAGAGGTTGATTCCCCAAGTGCCTTTCCATTTCCTTTGCAGTAACGAAGTCTGTGCCTTACTCTTTTAAAACATTTGCTATAACGCTTCTTTCCTGCTG